TCAAAAATCTTTGATTTGTAGTGGGGAAAATGCACTTATCAGATATGGTTAAGCGTATAGAATTGGTTAATCCCTCCACGAAGTGGTGAAGGTGTATATATAGGCTAGAATAAAACTAGTCATTTTAGGGAAGGAAATAGACGAGCAGACGGTCTGGTAGAAAACTGCCTAGAAAAAGTCCGGCCACTAACCTTTCTTTAAGTGAGCATATGAACATAGAGAAATCGCAGTCGGTTGATAGTATGATAATTTTCCCGGACAGTCCTGCCATTTCATGGACAACAAAAGTCATCCTAATTTCTCCATCTGCATTTTTCTCCGATCAAAGTTTTCGTCCGACTATTTGCTCGACCTCACTTAATGCTTTTCTTGCCTGGTGGAAGTTAGTTGGCCAGATAGTTCGTCCAGAGCCCGGACAAAAACTATTCCCTAATCATTTGTTCAATCAATCGTTTTACCATACATTTTAGCTTCGGCTTCAAAAAGTAACTGGCGGAACAGTCCGGCAAAAATCTACCCTGACAGTCCGACCACCTGAAACAATGTTCCTTCTGGCTCTTTTTAATGTGGGACTTGGTTAATCATTTTGGCATTGGACTTATAGCTAGGAATGGAATGTTTTGATGATTGTGAGCTGAGAAATTCCTTCGCAAATCCCTCTGGTCCCCTCTTAATAGTGAGGGATTCCTATAACTCAGGAACATAAAAAGATGTACACTAGATAGCTTTTGGAACTCAATTCTTGAGCATAATCCCTCCATTTGCTTTTAGCATGTAAAATCAGTTTGAAGTCAAAATTTACAAAGTTTGACCAACTTCATAGGAAAAAACTCAACATTCACAACACAGAATAAATATCATTAGATGTATCATAAAACTAATTTTCATGCTATATAACATCAGCATTGTAGTTGTTGATATTTTTTAATATAAAATTGGTCAAACTATGTGTAGTTTGACTTCAAACAAAACTTATATGCATTGTAAAAAGAAACAAAAGGAGTATATCTTCCTTCAGTGGTCGTCTATCCACCCCAGAAAATCAAAGGAACTTCTACCTTTGACTTGAGCATTCCACTTGAGCTTGATGTTAACATTCATACTTTTCCCAAGTTGGAAACACAATCTCGATAACGTCACTTGGTGAATACT